AACGTGCGACACTGGGATCCGAAGATGTATTTTGATGAACAAAGTTGCACTCCAAAAGCTAAGCAGAGTATTAAGAGATAGGAAAATCTCGTTGAAAACATAGAAAAGAGTACTGAACTGTTACTTGATATCTGTCCTCTTTTATGGCAGCGAATGCCGGACAATCACCTCAGATATGTGTAAGAGACTTGAAGCGACAGAAATAATTCTCTACAGAAGGATGTTGAAGATAACATGTGAGCAATGGCAAGGTTTTGGAGAGAATTGAAACAAAAAGGAAACTTATACTTAACACAAGGAAGAGTCGGTTGAAATTTCTGGGGCTCGTAATGAGAAAGGTGTGCTTGGAAAATCTGATACTCACAGGACAGATAGAAGGAAAGAAGGATAGAGGAAAGCAATGCGGGATATATTTGATGGGCTTGAAAATATGGAGAGCTGAAAAGGGTTTGGGAGAAATAACAAAAAAGACAAAACATATTAAGAGCTACAGGGGACAGAAAGATGTGGAGGGCCATGATCGCCTTCACCCTGAAGGAATACGGCACATAATCGAAGAATGGAATGATACCAATTAAATATATATATATATATATATATATATATATATATATATATATATATATATATATATATCGATTACGATTTATATCAGACAAATTTAATCGAAATTAATTCAAAGTGCACGAAGATCATAACGTTTTTTTTCCTAGTCGTAAAAATGTCTACACTTTTGTTAAAATCTATCAATATTTTACTGATGGGAATTCTCTCCTTCGGTTTTGATTTACTTTAATAGATTTTTGCCTCCAGGATTAAAATTAATTTCGATAATTCAGTAGACAAAAATGAATTGAACAATACATAGATTTTATGATTATATGTTAGACAAATATCACACAAAGTGGAGAAAAAAATCTGTGTAACAAGTTTCGACCTCTAGTAGGACTTCCTCATACTAAAATCAGTCAGTTATGTGCCACGCGAGATACACGCTTAGGCAATCATGTACCGAAAGATACATGACTGATGATGCAGATTTTTTTTTCCGCAGTAGGTTGCCATTTCTTTCTGTGGTAGACCAGTTACCATCTAAGGCTATATAACCCGGTCTGTCCTGCTATTTACCCATAGCTGGCAGGGGAGAAGAAGAGGATTCATACCTTTCCCAAGAGTTGAATGTAATGGATTGGACTGGAATTCAAACTTGACTCTTCGATTCCTCCGATATCCATTACTCCACCTTGCCTCTTTTATTGATGGAAATACATATGTGGGGGGGAGGTGGGGGAGATATGAAAATGCAAGCGTCGGTTATAATATCGGTATATAATTATGCACCAACAGAAAATATTTCTTTCTTTCTTTCTTTCTTTCTTTCTTTCTTTCTTTCTTTCTTTCTTTATTTATTTATTTCGCGGTATATGAACTCCTTAGGGGTCATTTAATGCCGAAATTTAAGTTTCTTAGGAGTATTAGTAATTTCTTTTCACAAGAACGTATCTGTTTTTTTTTTTTTTTTTTTTTTTTTTTGGGTTTTTTTTTCTTTCTTACAAACATATATTACTGGTATTTTTTAAAATTTTTAGAAAATTTTTCCCAAAAATGTATTGTTGGTATTTTTACTATATTTTTTTATACTTTTATCGTGTTTTGACCCCGGTTTGGAGGTTAACTATTTGCCCCTAGCTGAGACCCCAACAGTTGCTACAACTCCTGGTCTGAGTGAACCTTGGGACAACAGCAATTATGAGGTAGTCCCATGCTCCTGAAAACCTCCCGATCAGAGGCCTTACTGCCGTATGTAGTTTGTTGTCATACCCAGGACAGGCCGACAGAAAAGGCTGAAGATGTTGAAGGCTGAAATTTTAAAGTTTATTTTTATTTTTTTATAGATGTTTCTTGGTATATATATATTCATTTCGTTTCTGAAAAAAAAGTTCTTCAAAAGCTTCATTCAGTAACGCTCTACCTTGAGTGGCTCTTGGGTATTTTTTTTAGTGGAACAATAGTATAAAAAAGACCTCACTCACGAACAGTGTTCTCCGTCAGCCAATGTAAAGAGACATTGCTTTCATAATGTCCGGCAATGGACAGGACATTTGGCGAAGATGGTTAACTTTTTTCCCAAATATATTAGTAAACATTAGAAGCGTCAGGTGTAGCACAATATTTAGTTATGGCGGGCTAAAATCACGTTAGTGCGTGATGTTAACTGTGCGACGGAGCTACTTGACGCAGGTCACCATCCAAGGTGGAAGAGTTCCTCTGATGAACTACAACGGTCGCCTGTTCACGACCAAGGCGAGCCACCTAGTTAGAGGATATCGCCTGCGGTATAACCTAGAGAATGATGGGATCCGCTATGTTAAAACGCTCAAGACACGCCACAGGATGAGCACAACAAGAAACCATTCTCGGAGACCCAGGCTCTGGCACACAACACATCGGCGCCCAAACGACACCTTCTAGGTTTAAGGGCAAAAGAAGAGGAATGTCCGAGACGGTTGAAAGTACTCGGAAAATCAGCCTGATCTTTGGACAGTATATCCACAACATTTTATCTGGATATTCAAAAACTTCTACTTCTACTACTACTACTTCTTCGACCACAGTCGGTGTCCTCCAACTAGGTGGCTCGCTTTTGGTCACGAACACGTGGCCGTTGTTGTTCATCTGATTGGGGAACCCTTCCGCCCTGATCTGTGACCTGCTTCCAGGTGACCCTTCCGCCCAGTGATGTCGTGTTGACACTACCCCTTAATGTGAGTTTGGCCCAACAGCTGAAACGATTTACCGGGGCATGGCAACTTGAAAACATCACCAGATATATTCAGGAGATAATTGATGACCAATGTTGCTCGATCACCCGAAGGTGTATCGTGTCAGATATCAAAGGTACTACATCTATCCATATGCCCACATATATATTTTTTACACTTGATGTCGGAGTTGAAAAATATACAAAAGAATAAACATATAAACTTACTAGCAGAATAACCCGTCCTTGACCGGGTCTATCATTACTGGGAATTTTTGCCCTTCAATTCGAGCTTTTTTAGTTTAAAGTCAGCCCACTCGAAAATTAATATTATTAATAACATTTAGGTGAAATTGAGCCACATCTCTAAATGGGAGGGGGGTTAAAAATTTGAATGGCGAGTGGTCCTGAAAAAGGAACTGTATAATAATAAATAATATTATTGCAATAATTTAAATTATTTATTTTTAGTAAATTAAAGTTTTTTTTTATGAACGATATATATATCTAAGAAGAGATTGTAAATAGTAAAACTTTGCTGTGAGTTATAATGGACAGGAAGTAGTGGAGAGCCATTGTCGCCAACAATTTAGACTCAAAACTGGCACTGAATAATTATCTATCAAACAAAAAAAAACTTCATCGAAATCGGATGAAAACTGTGGAAATGCATAAACATCCGATCACACATACATACATCCACACACACATTTTGAGAATTATAGATACAGATTAGTTGAATTTAATAAATTGTTTTTATTGAATTCTTTCTGATTAAAATATATATATATATATATATATATATATATATATATATATATATATATGCTTGATTACTCGCATTCTGAGTATACCCGCTGGCTATGTAAACTCTGTTATACTCTCCCACTCATGCCCATTTGTTTTTCTTCAATGCTCACTAACAATTGACCATGGTGAGGTTAGAACCCTGGCCTCATGCTTAGATAGTGTAATGGAGTCACCTCTGGGCTAAACGTTTACTAATGTATGTACGTATATTGTGGCAATCTTGTCTTCTTATTCCAATTATTTACCGAGAGAAATGATAATTTAAAAAATAGTTCAAAACAATTTTAAATGATCGTTTAGAAAATGCACATCTGCAGACTCGCATCGAATATCGAAATGCATTATTGTTCTGAAACGAGAGAAGTGACACTAAACTAAAGATTCGGAAAAAATCAAGAGAAAAGGAAAGGTTAAAAATTTAAATAATTTGTGGTCTGTAAAAATCTGATGACTGGACTTGACAGTAGAACAATATGGACACTGAGTATGAATAAATGATAGGAGACTGAAAAAAAATCTGATTCAACTCGATCCGTGATTTCCCACAAAAGTGCGAAATACCTCCCCAGAGTTTTAATAACGAATTACAACAATGGATTCGCCGACTCAGTCTGTTAAAATACTGCTATTCATACAGCCTATAATGCAATAATGAACTTTTTGAGACAGTCTTGGTGGCAAAGAAAAGCATTCTGAAATATGATGGAAGGAAAGCATTGATGATAAAAAAAAAATGTTGAGAATTCCAGACTTGAAGAAACGAAAAAACGACACTCCGCAGAAAAAGAAAAAAAATTGACAGAAAACAGTTAATATATAATGGCCATACAAAAGCTAAGCAAAGTATTAAGAAATTGAAAAAAATCGTTAGATAGAAAGAAAAGAATACTGAACTGTTATTCAATATCAGCTCTTCTATATGGAGGTGAATGCTGGGCAATCTCCTCAAAGATGAAGAAGAGATTTGAAGCAACAGAAATGTAGTTCTACAGACAACCGTTGAGAATATCATGAATGGAACATGTAAGCAACGACGAAGCTTTAGAGAAAATGGAAACAAAAAGGACACTTATATTTAATATCAGAAAGAGACTGTTGAAATTTCTAAGGCACATTATAAGAAAAGAGAGCTTGGAAAATTCGTTACTCACATGAATGTTTGAAGGCAATAGAGACAGAGGAAAACAACGCCTATCTAGCGAATTTGGATGCTCTTAACAAGGTTTAGGAGAGATACCAAAAAGGATAAATTTATTAAGAGCTACAAAGTACAGAAAATTGTGGAGAGCCATGGTCTCCAACATTCTGAAAGAACACAATACACAGAAGAATAAAATATAATGAGATAACATTAAAAATAAATGGGTCTAATGATTCCTCAAAGAGTGTAAAGTCTCAGAGGAAAGAGGATTGGATAAAGAGGAAAGAATTAGAAACAAGAGGGAGTGTGAGTAGGCAACAGAATCAGATAAAGAGTGAAACAAAAAAGAAAAGGACGATAGAGGGAGTAGCGAAAAGAGAGAAAAGGATATTTACAAGGAGAGGGGCGTAGATACATAGTTGTTGAATAAGCTGATATTTTAAAAGAGCAGGAGATTAGAAATAAAAACTTAGATTATATTTGAAAAAGTACAAAAAATATGGAAGAGTAAAGCAGAAGAAAACGAATAATGTAGGAAATAAGAAAGGAGCATATCTAAAAGGCAAAATAAAACTGAAATAGAGAGAGATAGTGAAGAGATAGTGAAAAAGAGAATATACCGTGTATACTCGTGTATTAGCCGGCTTCGTGCATAGTACGACCCCTAATTTTAACTCCTCCAGAAAAAATCACCTGTGTTTTGTAAAACTGGTAACCGAAAATGAATGATTTTAAGCCACTTCAAAAAATTACCAATGTATAGTGCGAGTCCTTATTTTTGCATAAAAAATTGATCGTAAAATCTCGCACTATACACGAGTGTATACGTTAATAAGACGGAGTGTAAGGTAAACTGAACTGAAGATGGAGAGTAAGGTAGGATTAATGACCACGACTAATAGAAGAGCCAGAAACTTCAAATCAATGAGAGACATGTGAGACAGTACGAAGACTGATGATAAGGTATAGCACGCAGAAGTCAGAAAGTAGACTGAGACAGAGAAAGAGAGACAGTGACAGAGACAGAGAGAGAAAAGAAAAAGGCCACAGGGAGAAAGTAAAAAGACACAGAATAATATGACTGAGAAAATACAGGAGATGTAGTGTAATGAATAAAAAAGCTCAAGAAGGAGAGCTAGGATAGGAAATTGAAAAAAAAACAGCACATCTGAAAAAGCGGTTAATTAATAAGAGAAGGTGAGAAGTTGTAAAGAGTTGGGAAGTAAGGTGGAAGCTACAGGAGGAGAGAAAACTAGACTAGGATGAAGACAAGCAAATAGAGTAAATGAGAGTCGACGTGGAGGGGGAATTAAGAAAAAAGAGAGAGGGCGTAATTTAAAAGATGCAGGAGGAAGAGTATGTGGTAGAGAAATAGAAAGATGCTAAAGTACGAACTGTTAAAGCCGACCTAAAAGATGAACAAGGAATGGCAGCGGAGGATAGAAGATGGCGAAAAGTAAGAAGATAGATTTGAGAGTAATGGATAAAATGAGGATGATGGAGAGTAATGTGTACTGAACTGAAGAGGGATAATGAGGTAGGAAGTAAAAAAGAGCAATCAACGAAGGTGAATGAGAGATGGCGGATAGAAAGTAAGAAAACGGAGAGTAATTTTGAAAATGCCGAATATGGAGAGTGAAGCGAACCAAGAGAGAAAACGGAGAATAAGGTCGGAAATAAAAACAGAGCAATCAATGAGAGTGAATGAGCGATGAGAAGAGAAAGAAAGAAGTCGTGGAGGGTAATGTAGAATATACAGAATATGGGGAAGAAGTCAAACCAAGAGAAAGACGGAGAGTAAGGTCGGAAATAAAAACAGATCACTCAATGAGAATGCATGGGAGAAAGGGAGAGAAAGTAAGAGGAAAACGAAGAGTAATGTTGAAAATACAGAATATGGAGAGTAGGGCGAAAGAAGAGGTAGGCGGAGGGTAAGGTGGGAAATAAAAACAGAGCCATCATTAAGAATGACTGAGAGCTGAGGAGAGAAAGTAAGAAGTCGAAGGTTAATGGAGAAAATGTGAGATGGGGAGAGAAAGTAAGAGGAAAAAAGAAGAGCAATATCGAAAATGCAGAATATGGAGAGTAAGGAGAATCAAGAGGAAGACGTGGAGTAAGGTAGGGAATAAAAACAGAGCTGTCATGAGAGTGAATGGGAATGAAAATGAGAGTGAATGAGAGGTGGGGAGAGAAAGTAAGAAGAAGATGGAGAGTAATGTTGGAAATTCAGAATATGCTGAAAAGGCGAACTAAGAGGAAGACGAAAAGTTATGTAGTAAATAAAAAGTACCCGTTTAAAAAACAGCACGGAAAACCTAAACAAAAAAAATGAATGAGAGAGAGATGAGAAAGAAGAAAGACAGAGAGTAATGCAGAAGATGGAGAGTAAGGCAGTGGACAAAGAGTAAAACAACAAATCTAAAAGAAGAGCAAACATATTGAGAATTACATAGTAAAACAAAATGCGAAAATTATAAGGGAAAATACAAGAAGTAAGGAAGAAGTGAAGGAGATGTAAGCGAGAAGAGAAGGAGAAGTAATGGAGAAGTGAGGGAGAAGTAATGGAGAAGTGAGGGAGAAGTAAGGGAGAAGTGAGGGAGAAGTAAGGGAGAAGTGAGGGAGAAGTGATGTTGTGACGTCTGAGATTTAGCGGAAAACTGTTTTGTTGGTTCTTTCATTTTTTTTTTTTTCACTTGCATCTTCCGTCTGCAATTGCTGTGCTCGGCTTCATGTTTAATTAGTTATAGCGCTGACTGGCTGGACTTTGAAACTTGAGAAGAACAGACGAGGGTCTTTAACGTCAGATGGATTGGAAGGTACTAAGGTCGTAAAAAATAAAGCTGGCTTCCTAAGCCGGCAATCCAAACATTTGGCTAACTTATTTGCTTTCAATGAGATTTTTATTTATTGACTCATGCTTCCAATTTCATGACTCTGATCCTAAGAAGCTGGCCGTTATGACCATTTTATCATCAGTCGATTAACTTTGATGCTAGTTACTCTTTATGTAGGTTTTACTGATTAGAAACGAAGAAAAGCATATAATGAGATGTTGACTGAAATATCAGCTACTTTTTAATGCCATGTTACTTCCGAATGTAATCGATCATGTCTCTCCACAGCTTCATTTTCTTTATTATTAAATCGCTATGCCTTCTTGGTAGAGATAGTGGAGTGGTTTCGAGTTACCTTCGCCATATTTGGAATTCAGTTTTTTTCCTTCGGTTCGACTAGTTGATACCAATGGTCAGAAAAGTCTAGCTTACCATCCTATTTTATTTGCTTACAGCCATATCACTTTCCCCAACGGTCACCGAAGTTAAGCAATGTCGAGCTTTCTCTGTACCTAGATGAATGGCCACTTGGAAATACCAAGTAGTATAAGCTTAGAGAGCTGAGTTCCAATTCCAGTTGGGTTCGTTATATTCACTTACTCGGAAATACACTTGAGAAGACACGAATCCAGCACTTCTCCCCCAGATAGAAGGTTAATTAGTAAGATTTATATCACTAAAATAATTATTATCTAAAAAAATACGTACAAAATATTTAGATTTCGACATAAAATTACCCATAAAGGTTGATATGCCGCTAAGAAAAAAACAATCGACCAACCAACGTATTTTAATTTATAATTCAGGGGTGGATGGTTTCATGTCATTCCAAAGGATATTAGTGCAAAAGTGGCGCCTCTGTCTAGGCTGGAATTTAAGCTCGGCTTGTCGATACCACTTTCATCCCTTATGTCACGCGTTGTTTTTCCTTTGTCTCTCTTTCCTTCTATTCGACCCGTGAGTATCAGATTATCCAGGCCCTCCTTCCTCATTATGTGACCCAGAAACTTCTTTCCTTTCCTTTGTTAGATTCCTTGGCGTGCCGTAATTTCAACAGAGAGTGTGTGTGTGTGTGAGAGAGAGAGAGAGAGAGAGAGAGAGAGAGACGAAACACCACGTGAGAATGATATGTAACTTTTCTCTCTATTGACAACAGTTCTTTCTATATCCATCTCCTTCTTCTTCTCCCAGTTGCTTCCTCTAAGAAATGATGTTTACCACCCCTTCACTCGGAATAAAAAGAGTAAAAAGAAACCTGAATTTACATTGTCTATCATTGATTCAGTCTGTGACGTAACATTGGGTCCCGACAGATAAATTTCCGATAGAGCAATAAAATTCAGAGACGATACAAAAAGCAGCACTTTAATGCTTCGTCAATCTTAGGGCTAAAATCCTTTCATTCAAACAACGGCTTTTGACTAGAACGAGCGTTTCAAGGCTGGTCGAGTGTCGAGTTAACATGATGATTGCACAAATTGGCCAATCAACAACAAGAGGCCAGAATATATGGAAAAACCGAGAATCTAAATTAAACATTTTAATTTAATCATTTAATATAAGAGTTCCTTCGAGGAAGTATCGAAAAGGAAGAGACAAGAGACAGAAATGTGCCTGTAGCCAGTTTCGTCTGACTTGTAATAGTTTTAGTTTAGTTTTTCCACCCGTTTGTGCTGTTAGGCGTCGCGGGGAGACACAGTCATCTGTCAGCGGCATGGCGAATGACCTGGAGGAGAGATATCTCGTGGTCTCTGAGAGTGTCTGTCACTGAGTCGCTCCAGAGTCTTCTTGGTCTGCCTCTCGCTCTCCAGCCCGGATGCCTGAGGGTCTAAGTTCGCAGGGCTTCTTTGGTTGATAGGCATACGAGTGAGTGTCCGAAACACTTAGTCTTTCGATGTGTTGTATGATTGCTATTGCTCCTACCATATCTCTTATTGCCTAATTCCTGATCTTGTCTCGCCTGGTCTTATTCACTGCTTTCCTCAAGTGATCAGTTTCCTCTCAAGTTTTTTTGTTAAGGACCATGTCAACGTTCGTAGGAAAATGGCGTTGATGAGATTTGCTTTGATGCTCATTGAAATGCTAGGATGTTTTAAAATAGAGCAAGTTGGTAACTGACTCATAATAAAGTTCCCTAATCTGTTTCCTTCAACCAACAGAGTAGCGCATGTCAAACAATTCAGCAACAGGTGTCTGCTCTTCGCTACAGCAGTCGCACTTTTATCTATCACGTCTTTAAGGACATTTTATAGATTGAGTGACAGTTTAAATTTGCAGAGGTCAAAAAAGATTCGAGAGGTCAACCCGAATCCGAGATCTATACGACTAGTAAAGCCGACATTTTCTTTTTGAGAATTTTTTACATTTGAGACACGGCCAAATTCGTTTTTCTCCCGGAGGTAAGCCATTTTCTTCTAGGGTTACAATTTTCAATGATAGTTTGCTCTTTCGATTACTATCGTAAAGGCTTAAATGACCTCACTTCTCGTTGCCAAAGTCTAATAATTGATATGGTCTCCAGTTTGAAAGCTAATATTATTTGAAAATATATTTGCTAACCATTGATACTACATTTGAGAGATTATTCTCCAAAGAAGCCGATATAGATGTGCACGTTTGTTTCCTGACACAAACACAGAGGAATTGTCTGGTTTTGTTTGTTTTTTTTTGTCTTTTTTTGCACGAATTCAAAAAAAAAAACAAAATGCAAAACTATGAAATTTCTTAGTGACTAAAGAGCTTTAAATATGCCTGTCGAAATCAGCCCGATTTTTATCAATTTTTCCCAGCAAAAGCGTGTCCGACATGCTGTCTTTATTCAGTTGCAGAAAATGGATCAATAGAAAATTGTAGCGTCTTCTAAATATTTGAAATTAAAAGCAACTTGAAATGGAAAAATAGCTCATAATAAAAGCATACAAATCATCTTCAGAGTCCCTTTTTTTTCTTTTTCGGTGCGTTTATCTGGACTCGTAGAATTTCGACTGAAACATTATTGATGTCCCCTTTTACTTGGCTGCTGCTGATGAGAAATGAAAAAGAAGAGCTTTAGTCTTTTTTTTTAACTATCGATTATCTTTCATTTAAAAAAAAAAACGTTGAATGGGCAAAACGTTGAATAGACGAAAGTAAATTATCAAAATGTCCGACCTATATAGGTCTCTCTCTCTCTCTATATATATATATATATAGAGAGAGAGAGAGAAAGAGGGAGAGAGAGAGAGAGAGAAAGACAGAAAGATATATATATATATATATCCTTCTCTGTTTTCTCTGTCTATCTGCCTCTCTCTCCTCTTTCATATATATACAGAGAGAGGGAGAGAGAAAGATATATATATATATATATATATATATATATATATATATATATATATATATATATATATATATATATATATATCCTTCTCTTTGTTTTCTCTGTCTGTCTGCCTCTCTCCTCTTTCATATATATATGCAGAGAGAGAGAAAGATAATGAGGCAAACGGAAAAAAAAGCAATTCAATCCAACTGGCATCATAAGGCGAGGATGAAACGTCTTAATATCCCCATTTTACTACACATAATATTAAACATTATTAGAATCTCTTTCTCTCTCTCTCACTCTCTCTCTCTCTCTCTCTCTCTATATATATATATATATATATATATATATGTTATTTTTATTATAAGAGATTATAATAAAAACATGTTAAAATAGCTACACGAAAAATTTCATGTTTCAATACTTTGATTGTACTTCTTCAGGCGATGTTAATTAACTGGGAATTAAATCATTTTTAAGAAAATTTAAAGACAATGTGTTACCTCTTTTCCGAAAGTTAAAGCTGGGGAAACATAAGGTCAGAATTAAAAATAGACTTGTGGGTATGTCTTGATGCACCAATTAATTGTCAGATCTGCACTAAATAGAAACGTATGCTCAGATAGTGGACGTGGGTGAGTAATTTTTTCATACCCCGATAAACCGGAACACACAAGGTCATCATTGACAATTGCAGAAAATATGTACGCGAGAAATGTATCGTATTGTAGACAAATATGACACGTTCATTGTTTTTAAAGGACGTTGAAGGAAGGGTTAAGAGCATAATCAGGCGTAAAGTAAATTTCAACAGAAAAAATAAATTAAATTTTAGATTCAGGAAATGTCTTAAAATAAAAATGTGGAGCATCTATATAAGATATTAATAATACTAACTGGACGGCAATACATAGCAATATTAAAGTTGAATAAATAAAATAAGGCAATTACCCATAGAGGGGGGTATTATTTCCTAATAATTTATGGCTATAAGAAATAGTAATACGTAATTTTTAAAATTTAACTATAGTTTAAGGTTAAAGATAAACTGTGTCGGAAATTTACAGTTAATTCACTCCTTTAGTTTAATCAGGATTTTTGTGAGCAAATTTGATAATTTCGAGTTTTTCATGTAAACATACCAAGCAAAGTTAATATAAAACTTAAATATAATTAATTTCTTATAAAATACAAAAATGTGTCTTATCTTAAACTTAACTAGCCGTAATTACTTACCCAAATATTTCACAGTATTCCTTACACCAAAACAACACATTCTCACTTACCATTCTTACTACAGCCACCATAATACCTCAAAGTCTCTATAAAGTCCTAACTAGTCCCTGTATATGCAATAGAGGAAAGTATTTATAGGAAAGTTAGAGGGAAGCTACGTTATATCGGTGAGAAAGTGACTGAAACCGAGATGCCAGATCAGGACAGATTCTTCATGGGATTTTATCAAGAATCTCTAAATGTATAGTAGAAGCCCCAGACCAGATATGGCTGCGATATTCATTGCTCTGCATTTGGTTTTCTGCTCGATCTTGTTAAATATTCGAACACGACGAATGAATATAACCGACTGGCATG